GTGTGCATTGTGGACAACAAAGGTCCACAGTTTCAAGGACAAGGCAAGTTATTTCTACAACCCTCAAGAGCGCGTACTCTCTGTGTGTACATTTTTTGTGCACAGCCCCTCCCAAGGGTTGTGTTTCTTGTTACTAATTTGCATATGAAGGCATTGAATTTTGTATTCTAGCTGGTAAAATTGGCTCTTGGCTTAACCATATATATGTACAACTGTATCATGGTAGGGATTTATGGGGATGAATTTGAAATTTTGAGTTTCAAGTTTTACAGGAAACTGGGGATCACTTCACTGTAGGCATCTGCACCAAATACCCTCCCTCCTCTCCCCAGCTGTTCTTTTCAGAAGTGAATTCTGTTCATATGAGAGAAAGTAGCATGTTTTTTCCAATCCCCAAAAGTTCCTACAAAATTATTTATACAAGCTATAAATTTATTCCCTTAAAATACATTTGAAACACCTTTAAAATTAATTCCTTACAGAAAATTCTTTCCTCCTTTTCTGTATCAAGCAGATGAACTGTGTGACAATGTATAGATAGACTTGTCATCCCTCCAGAAGCTTCAAGGAAAAGAAACATTCTGCAGGTGCAAAACAGTCCCTCTTTCCCTCACCTTTGTGTCTTTTAAATGACTATAAGATTTTCTTCCTGCATCTCAGCAAACAACACTCAGATCTGGTCCCTGCCAGGCCCCTTGCTCAGCAAAGGGCCTGTCTCTGAAAGGTCTCTGGCTCCCCATGACAGTGACCAGGAGGCTGAAGTAAGAACCTTCATCTCCAGAGAGCTGAGTGCTGCCAATGACAGCGAAGTCAGTGCAGTAATATATTCAAGAAGACCTAAGGGTTTACTTCTCAGTAAGGATGGAAAAAATCTAAGCACCCCACTGTGAGCCTATCATGATGCTGCTTCATAGGAAAAGTTGGTAATTAGTCCCTGAGTGAATAAAGTAGAATAGATGATAAGAGATTGATACTTAGAGGGGAAGCACAAAATACTCTTGCTAGTCATCAAATTTTAAAGGCTGTAAGAGAAAGGCCTCTGTCTGTTTATATACAGTACCCAACACAGAATTTGTAATCATAGAGTTCATTAACTAGTATTTTTAAATTCTATGAAAATGAAGCTTATGTAAATTTCAAAGGAATCCACAGACTGCCAAACACAAGATGTTTGAGATCAGGCATAAAATGTCAGAGCTGGTGAGAATTTTGGCTCTTCCTCCAGCTGAGGGTCTGCTGCTAAAATCCAAATGTGGCACAATGCTATGCAATGTGGGAGCTGAACAGCAAGTTTCAAAAGCATTTATCTCATGGTACTTCAGAGCCTGCAGTTGTTCATCCAGATTTTGTTTTCTTATACAACTTAATATCAACTCATCTGTGACTGTCTTGTGTTGCAGATGCCTGCTGTAGATGAGTTAAGACTTCCAGGCAAGCCAACTAGTGTTCATTTCTTCAGGGTATGGCTTAGAGGATCAACATTTGAGGGGGAAATGCCTGACTTTAAATTTCTATTTGAATTGATTGCATGTCTAAATTTTCAGGGAAGGACATGAATTTACATAAAAACTAATTCGGTCAATATTGTGGGAACAACTGAAATATCTGGATGTTTCCTAAAAAGGAAATAAGTATGAACTACCTGAAAGAAAATCCAAGTTTCTAGGGGAAGAGGTGTGCTTTCTGTTGTATTTTGGCATTTACCTTCTTCATTGCTTTGAGATACTTATGAGTTATCTGTGGACTACATAGATTGGGTAGAAAAACCAAGGTTTATCTGTCAGGCCCAGAATTTCAGGGGACACAGGACTCTAGGAAGGACTACAATCCTAGTTAAGAGGCAGGACCGCTTTCCAGAATACAGACTAAGGAAAAGCTTCATTTGCAAAATATGTAAATTAAGGTTCACTATTTAGGCAACAAAAGTGAACCACAGTGTGATTTGATGAGCAACCACTATTGCCTTAAGATATTTTATTGCAGAGAAAGATCTATCTTATATATTTAATTTTTCAAAATCAGCTTCTAATTGGAAAAAGAAAGCAGACTGGACTACAGGATCATGTAACAGGTAATTTCACAGTTGTAGACATATCCACTTTGAGAAAACACACCAACAACATAAAATAACCGTAATTAATGTATTTTCTGAGGCTGTCTCACTAGTATGTGGTCCTCTCCCCAGCAGTTTACAGTCTCTGAAGGGAAATGGATAGTTAAATAGTTGGAGGCAGCTCCGAGGCAGCAAACTAACAATGATCCAGCAACTGCTTGCATCAAATGAGAGCCAGTCAATGAACCTCCTGTCTCTGTCTCTGTCTCTCCCTTCCTCCCTCCCTCCTCCTCTCCCTTCTTCCTCCTCTCTTTCCCTCCAGCCTTCTCCCTTGCTCCCTCCTCTTCTCTCCCCCACCCCTCAGATAGGTTCATACTATGTATCCCAGACTGGCATGAAATTCACAATCCTCCTGTCTCAGCATCTTAAGCACTGAGATTATAGGTATACCACCAAGCCTGACTTTCCTTACCTCATAGCTTAAATATCAGGATCATCATCACCTGCATAGACCCAGAAACAAAACAGACATTAAATAGATATCTTTGGGACAACTGCCAATGTAAGTTTTATATTTTATTCTATTTAATGCTAAGCTCATTGAAATGAGATAATTAGTCAGTCATGTGAATTCAACTCTGGTGCTCTTTAGAGGGAAAAAATGCATATTTGGCCAAAATGTGTGAAACCTGTATATTTTCTTCCTATACAGGAAACTGTACACACTTTTAAACTTTTGAGAGAAAGTTATTAATTTGGACCAATGATTATAAGCTATCCACAAATGCTAACCTGAGGATTTTAAGTGATCAGTTTATAACAATAATATATAAATATTCTTTGTTTTATGCTTGTTTTAAAAACAGCTTTCCAAAAAAGCTATTTATATGCCTTAGGTTTTATACTGTTCAAATTCCTACATTCTCCCTATTAGTCTCTCTAACAGTTGTTAGCTTCTCTGCCTTGTGTGCTTTCCACGCACATAAAATAATACTCCCTTTCAAATATTTTATAGTTATCTTGAAATCGCTTTCCTACTGAGGTAGAACATGTTGAAGGAATTTCTGATTGTTTACTAGCTTTAAGCCAAGTATAATTCTAGATCATAACCATATTTATAAACATTTTTAAGTAAGTTAAACCCATTTTAAAAATACTTTATATAAGAAGATGGAAGTATTTTGTAGCTGTAAACTGACTGCAGGTATCAAATGTCAAGTGGACACCAACATAACTGCCAGTTCAAATGCCACAAAATGTGCAGAGCTGCTCATAAAATATCTTTGCATCCCCCATCTCACTTTGAACTAAGATGTTGTCTCCAACTCTCCCAAATGTATCCATTTCAGTGTAATTCCTCATTGTTTTCAATCTGGGCCTGAGGCTTAAGGATAGAGAGAGAGAGAAGAGGATGCTTTAGTGCATAGGTATAGCCCAAATATAAACACTGAGATCATCCTGAACACATTTCAACATCATACATAAGGCAACCTTTTTGGAGATGCACTGAGGAGTACTAAGAGGAATGTAGACATAAGCATAGGCTAGTTTAACTATATACAGTGCCCAAAATACTGGACATGAGTCACTATGGCAACCGTTGACTTTAATGTAGTACATTTAATCTTTCATTCCTTTTGCTCAGAGTAGGCAGTTTACTTGAGAATCTTGTTTATTTTTGTCCAATTAGAAAATAAAGGAGGCAGTAGCTGTATCTGTTTCTGTGCCAGGATGTATATAAACACCATACATCTTCGTATTTTTCCCAGCAGCTTCTAGATATACTTTGTATAAAAGTTGTACAGTGACACGGGTGCACTTAACCTACATGCAGGCAATACATGCATACACATTAAATAAAAATAATATGGGGCTGGAGAGATGGCTCAGCGGTTAAGAACGGTCTGAGAGGCTTCATGGCTCCTGACTTTTAAAAAGACCAAAATAAATAAATAAATAAATAAATAAATAAATAAATAAAATTTTAAAAATAAATTTTAAAAAAAGTTGTGCAGTGAACATAACCACCACTTGTGATGTTCCAGCATTCCACCTTCCCTTGCCCACTGTGTGCATTTTCATGTCAGTCTGTCTTTTGTCATCCTCTCTTATTCAATATTTACAAGGACCTCTAGGGCAGATGTCTTAAAACAGCTGGATGATCACCAGGAGTTAGGCAGAATGAATTGCCTATGTCCAGCTTCTTCAGAGTGACCCAGGACCAAAAGAAAAAAAAAAAGAAAAGAATTAGACTTAGGAAACTCTACTCAGGTTAAAGGGCATCAAGAATCCTGGCTTGTATTCTGCCTAGAGGACAAGGCTTTCATTTGATAAAGATCATTAGTCACTGAGATATATATTTGAGAGTTCCCAGTAGCGAATCTTCAGTTGGCAGTCAGCGGAGTGTACCAGATGGTTCATTAGCATAGGCTAGACAAGTCAAAGGCTCTCAGAATCATTTAGAAAATGTCAAACAGAAACAAGAACCCTGTCACTTTTTATTAGAATTAACTACATCACACCCTGGACACAGATTTCACCTTGGGTCAGAAAAATTAATACAGAATTATATGAATTGTGTAATATACTGGGTTAAGATAGGTCTTTCTCTGGGGACTCATTTGCTGGCAATATATTATGATCCCTCTACTTTAAGAATCCTCAAACCTTTCCTTTTGTAAGATATAAAAAGAATTGACCTTGCTCAAAATCCATTGGTGTCTAATTGATCTGAGGAATATGCAGGATTTAACAAGACATTCTTCCAAAGCTCTTTTACCATCATTTTCCCAGGAAGCTCGGTGAGTGGGGCTTACTGAATATTCAGCAGCTTATAAAAGTGCTCTGTATGAAGAGGAAAAGGCAGCCATCCATTGAACATGCTGCCTTAGTAAACGGAATTCAAAACACCATTGAAATATTGTCTTTGTTTGTTTTTTAAATGCAGATGTCAAAAACCTTGAGAACTTGCAGCTGGTGGAAGGTGTCCAAGAACAAGTGAACGCCGCGCTGCTGGACTACACAGTGTGCAACTACCCGCAGCACACGGAGAAATTTGGGCAGCTACTTCTTCGACTGCCGGAAATCCGGGCGATCAGCTTGCAAGCAGAAGAATACCTCTACTATAAGCACCTGAATGGGGATGTGCCCTATAATAACCTTCTCATCGAAATGCTGCATGCGAAGAGAGCATGAGTTACAGTCCCTGGGAGCTTGCTCTCGGAACAGAAAGAGACTGGAGGGAGGGAAAAGAACAGGAAGAGAGAAGGAAAAAAAATACTCTGAACTGCTCCACACAACGCTGATTAAAAACTCGCTTTAAAGATATTGAATTTTAAGAGGCATAATAATCAAATACTTAATGGCAAACAATTGATGTATCAGGGTATTTGTACTGTAAACTGTGAACCGAAGGCTTCACGTCCCCAGAGGGTCCATATGAAAGTGGCCTGAGCTCACAGATGGATTCCAGCACCACATCAGAGTACAAAGGGACAGGACAATTCTTGTATATTTGAACTGATCTCTGTTATGAAGAAATTTAGGAATTAATCTGTGTTAATAATGGGATTCATTCACTGAGGGGTTGGAACTTACAGAATTCCTCCATGGTGAAGTTGAAGAGCTGTCCACGCAGCCCCGCCCTCGCCCAGAAGGCCCCACACCTCTCAGCTGTGATCTCCCAATCCATACCAAGAACCTGTGTTCAGCCACACCCAGTAGTAGCGCCACTAAATCATGAATACTGAATGTCTGTGTCTTAGACCTGCCGAAACCTATAAGAACAGTGTATAAAGATGTCAGCTTGCCATTTTCAATATGTTCTGGTTTGTTTTGTTGCGTGTCAGTAATTTTTGGAGAAAAGCAGGCAGTATCTCTCTTCTATATAAGCATTGATTAATTAATATTAAGAAAAATGACTGCAATTTTTTTAAGCAAATGCTCCTTACAAGCAAGTTAGCTTTTATTTTTTCTGCTACTGTTGCTGAAATGTGGCTTTGGCATGGTTGGATTTCATAAGACTATCTGGCCAAAAGGCTTGTTAGTATACATCTGTCTTTCTAGTCACCAAGGTGTGTAGTTCACTTAAAAGTAAAACATTAAATATCTTTTGCTGGGATGTCAAATAGTCACAATTTAAGTAGCTGAAAAGTCGAAGCATGTTGAGCAATGCCAAACCAAAAGAAAGGATGAGCTGATAAATTGATTGGCTCAAGTTTCATTCCAGTTGCATTTGGGTATGTCCTAAACTCGGGAGGGAAGCAGTGATTCTGCATATGGCCTGGAAAGAGTAAGTCATCCAACAGCCCGCAAAGGGGAATGGAAGAGAGTGATACTGACCCCTCTTAAGTTGTAGACCAAAGGCTGCTGTAGAAGGAATTTTGGAGGACAGAGATGGCAAACGCACTCTCTGAACAACACCGTCAGTATTAACATGCGATGCCACAGGTATGAAAGTCTTGCCTTACTTCACAATCCTGAAAGGTAGCTGTGCAGATGTGTATCGACATTTGTTTAAAACAAAGTATTAATACTTTAAAGTCAAATAAAATATAGTGTTTACATTCTTTAGGTCCTGGGGGGAGTGGGGGGAGGGAACCGTGATATTACAAAATAGCGAAAGCAGTAATTTCTTTAATGTTATTTTTCTGGTTGGTAATTATTTTTAACAGTACTTAATTACTGTATGTCGTGAGACACTAAAATCAAAAGTGGGACTCTCATTTAGACTTTAATTTTTTGAGATTACCGGCAGCACAATCACTTGTAGAAACTGTAAAAAAATTAAAGTATCTCCTAGTTCCTTAATTTTTTCATAAGTGTTTCTGGCTTTTGAATAGTTTATTTATATTGTCTATCATAGTTTCAAGTGTAGACAATTATGATGCTAATTTATTGTTCCTTTGTTTCACTTTTGTATAAGATATAACCAAGATGGAAGAAACCAAATATATGTGTTTACTGTAGCATGTCTTCAAGTTAGTGGAACATAGTTCAGGGGTATAGAAGGGTCTTAATGAGTAAAATCATCCACTTGATTAAATGTCTGTAAATCTACATAATTCTTCTGTAGTTTATTTAATATCCATTGTAAATTATGTGACTTGTAGCTTTCTCTGTTTTAAGTAAATTTAATGAGGTGGCGTCTTACCTGGTTTTCCTTTGAAGCACTGTAAGTTATATACCAAAGATATTAGTTTATCACTTCAGTGTGTACAAAGATTATTTTATTCCTTTTCTCAGTCACCTCTGAATACCATCCACATGAAGGTGCTATGACTCATGCCATGTTGTAGTCTGGGTGTTATCTTCTTGGTTCAAAGGATGGGAGGTCACTAATCAGAGCTCAGATCCAAAGCATTCAAGAGAATGGCAGCATTGCTGATCCTCTCAATTAGAACCCAAGTTGGTTAAAGGCACATGGAGAGGCATGGTGTTGTCAATGGTTGATGAGACGGCTCCATCCTGTTTGTCAACCTGGGTGGAAGAGATTCTGAGACTCGAAGGATGGTTATTTAGAGGGATTTTAGCATTACAAAAAAAAAAAAAGAAAAGAAAGAAAAAAAATCCATGTTTTCTTATTTCAAATAATAGAGTACTCCCTACTGAATGTTAATCCTAAAAACTGTCAAATACTGGTGTCGTTAACCTATAGATTGTGCCCTGAAAACAGTTAGAGAGACAGGCAATAGAGTCACACCCACACTGCTGGTGACCCCAACGACAGAAGCAGAGAAGCAAGCCTGTGCCGTAGCAGCACCTGGGGTATACCCAGAGCTGGCTGGTGATATTTGTCTGATGTCAGTTGTTCACCAGTTTGTAACCAGGCATTTACTTAGCCAACTGCCTTATCAATTACGGGATTCACTAGTGAAAGCAGACTCAAGTAAAAAGGTTTTTGGCTGAGCTGGGTTTCTTAGAGTTGGTCTCTGTAAACAGACAATCTGTAATGACTGAATATTTGTCTTACAGATTTCTGTAGCTGCCTTGGACTTGAATCCATGCAGTGTTTAGAGTGTGAAGTCAGCTACTTGTTGACGTTTCCTACTGTATCAGTGAAATACATATTGTCACGTTAGTTCTTCTTGCCAGGAATTTCTCACTAAAATGGATTTTTTTTCAGTATTTCAATAAATATTGATATGCCCAGCCTGATAACTTAAAATCTTTTATGTCATCCTTATTGTGTTGGACACTTAAGCTTCTACCAATTAAATATGGTGAGCAGAAATGGAATCCAAAGAACTTCACAAGAATGAATGCCTTCAGCCAGGCTTGGTGGCAGATCTTTGTGAGTTAGGGGCCAGCCTGGTCTCCATTAGCGAATCCAGGCCAGCTGCGACTTCAGGGAGTGTGTGTTGTTGTCCTTTGCTGCTGTCTGAAGCCTTACACACCACCCACGCATTGTTCCTACATGAAGTGAAGCATTTTTATATCACTCACTGTTATAACAGGTTGACACAAAAATCTTGATATAGCCAACTTTTCAAATCTATCAAACAATGTCCTAATGACTTTCAAAGGTGCTCAGAGAGCCACCTCCTAAAGCCTCTTTCATTAATCAAGACATTGGTCAGAGGAGGACTGGAACATGGAATTGTGGTTTTGTTTGATTTGGTTTGGAGTGCTGGGGTTGACCCTCTTGCTTGCTTACTCTAAGCCAAGATGACACTTGGGCATCATAAGACAAAGACACTAGAGAACTGGGTCAAAATGAACCATATTTAGGTATCACGAACCCAGAGCCAGGATCTGGAGAGATGGCTCAGTGGATAAAGTTTTTATCATACAAGTGTAAGGACCAGAGTTTGAATGCCCACTAGAGCCCACATAAGAGCTGGACGGGCATGGCAGCCCATCTGTAATCCCAGCTGGCAGTGGAGAGGGGATCCCCAGGACAGACTGGCTGCTTAGCCTAGCTGAACTGTGGTGCTCTGAGTTCAGCAAGAAACCCTACCTCAGTAAATAGAGTGGAGTGCAATCAAGGAAGACACCACGTCAACCTCTGTCTTCACAGACAAACACTTGTGTGTGCATACTACATACACATAAAGACAAACACTTGTGTGTGTATACTACATATACATAAAGACAAACATTTGTGTGTGTATACTACATACACATTAAAAAAAATCAACTCAGAACCCATGAAAACCTTTATATTCTCTGGAGTTTAACCCTAAAAGTAAGATGCCTAAACAGTGTTGTAGCAATTCACCTCCTTCCATAATACATTTTGGAGATGTTCAAAGCAACAGAAATAACTACAAAATCCATTTTTTAAATAAAAGTTGTATTATAAAGTATTACAAGAGCCACAAAAACACCTAGTTATGCTTCTAAAACATGGGAGCCCAGCCTCCCCTTTCCCATTCTCCTCCAACAGAGGCAGGCAGCATGCCTCAGCCCTTTTCCAAGCAGACTCAGATGTTTATAGGATGCTACAAAAAAGTTACCAACCAGAACCAACCACATGCTACATGTAGAATTTAAGACATCATGAAACTGAGATTTTTAAGCAACTGGACAGTGCTCTACCATCTCCCTTGTCAACCCCAGGTAAAACTTTTTAAACGATTCTTGCTGATGTTCTACAAATAAGGAAAACATGTATTCATGTCTAACTGAGCTGTAACTTACACAGCTATTTTACATATGTCTACACTCAGGTTATCATCACCCAGATCAGACAAGGTGAAGAAAACAGATCTTTTTTTAATGTTTTTTTTAAGTGGGTATACACATTTTTTAAAATTAAAGGAGTTTCTCCAGAGCCAGACTGGCAGCTGGCAGGGGTCATTCTGACAAGCTGAGGGGGCCCAACTTCCACCCTAGAATAACACACACAGAGTGGCTAAATCCACAGCTCCAGGCGCCCCAAAGGGGAAGAAAAATGACTCATGCTGATGTAGGTTTGATTGTTCTGTTGGATATTCAAAATAACTTTGAGGGGGTTTGTACCTTTAACTAAGTTTGACATTCGGTTTGAAGCCATCTCTGATGTATATTTTTATGAGAACCATGTGGAGACTTTGTTCAACATAACACAGGTCAAAATGCTACAATACTTAGTGATCTTGACATTTCCCTGGAATAATACAGACCAATTTTCCTTAGTGCTGAACAGGAAGTGTATAGTTTAGTCACTCAAAATAAATATTCTTGCAGCACTTTAACTGTTTCACATAAGCATTTGTTCTATGTTAAGTTAGGAATTAATAATTCAGTGACTGATGTCAGGCTATGATTGTGGTTTTGTTTGTAGAAAATCCTTGCATGTTTGTTGCAAAGAAGAAGGAACGCTGCAGAAGGGGGTATAATTAGACTAACTGCCGAGTCTGAAGCTAAGCTACCAAGAACCCAGGAGGCTGCAGAGAACTGAGCTCTCCAGAGAAGTTCTGCTGCTCGGACACGCGGCTACCCAGGAGCTTCTGTAGCTTCCAGGCCAAGCTTCTGGTACAGTAGGGCAGACTTCAGATTCCCCTTAGGAGCCGATCAGTCGGAAATGACCGAGGAGCACCATCAAACAACGGTATAGACACCTGATTAGTGTCTTGGCTCTTGCACTTTGGAAAGCTCACTCAGTCCAGTCTCATGCGGCATCCTTGGTGCCCGATGGCACTCCTCTGAGTGGGTAGCCCAACCTAAGGAGATGTGACTAAGCCAAGCCAGGGCCTCCCAGCACTAATGCCACAGGAGCTGGAGCCTCTCCAGTAGCCCGGCCCACTGGCCTCAGCTCCATTTCTGCCTTCTGCACCCTTTGTTTCCCACAAGGCCTCAGTATCCAAAACCTACAGGTTTCTTTTCCTGCATCTATCAAATCGGTCCACATCCGTACTCCCCCGCAGTTTTAGATCGGACCCTTGGCATTTCTTGGCTGTAATTATGCAAGAGATCCCAGGCTGAACTACTGTCAGCCCACCCACTCACAGCGCACTCTACACAGCAACCAGCCAGGTCCCAGTGTCCTCTGATGGTTCCCATCTTGAGGGAAGTGCACTCCCCAACACTGCATGAAAGCCTTTCTTGACTTGGCCGCAGCCAGCCTCCCTGCCCTCCTACCCCCTGCCCCCTGGCTCCCTGGCCCCTGCCTCTGCCTCCCTGCCTCCCCCCTGTGTCC